ACTATACGAACTATTAATTTTGTATGCTTCCATGTTCATATTTTTGCAAATTTGCAAGCCTGACAGAATCTTAATAAATCTTTTAAATCTAATAATAAACACTCCTTGTTAACATACCAAACTTGATTAAAACTTAGATGCTTACAATGTTTGTCCAACAGGGTCATTCTCCTGAGGCTGCTTCTGGATAGCAAACAACCATAGCAATTAAACTTATTATTCTTACAATTGTATCAAAAACAAAATTCTCAATTGTGATTGGTTCTCCATGCACCTATTTGTTACGTAATTGGTGTGAAATCTTGTGGGTGTCCAGTATTACAAGTATCCAATGACAAGTTTTGGTAATTGGATACCTGTAATTGGATATGCATCCCACATGCATGCCAATACATGCACTTTAGTGTCTTCCTTCTTGATCTTTCCCTGCTGTTTGTAAAACTTACAGAGACACTTGTCTAGTCACTTTTTTAAGGAGTTTTAATCTCAAAATTTGTTACAATGTTCGTTAAACAGTTTCAATAATTTGAATAAATTTTAAGTTATCAGATATCAAAATACAGTTGAATCTCTGGTTGCAACCACCTTTCATAAGCAGCCACCTCTCCTCAGCGACCAGTTTTCCAAAATGCCAAAAGTTTCCAAGTCAAATCACTATAATTATTTGGAACCTCTCGTAAGCAAGCACCTCTCGCAAGCAATTGTGACCACTTTTGGAGGTAAAAGTTTGAAATGTTCCTTTGTTTTTAATCTCCTGTAAGTGATCACTTGAGAGATAATAGAGAGAAAATTGGATAATAAGGTGTTGTGACATTATTGCACTCAAGGTAGTACAAGAGACGGAAATTTCTCAATGGAAAGTACCACATTTTTTTGCAAAATTGACTTTTCACACAAAAAAAAACATCTAAAACAGGGGTAAGTATCTGCAGTTACCATATGCTAATGAGGCAAAATCTTGACTTAATATGGTCAATATGGTCTAAGCTCATGTGAGCGACCAACTCCCGCAAGCAACCACTTACTAGGCTTGACATTTTGGGTGGTCCTTTACAGGAGGTTCAACTGTAGTTATAGAAATGCAATGCTGAAATAAACTTACTGAGTTTTGGGGTGGGACCGGAAGCGTTGTTAAAGTGTAGATTGACAGAACAAGTTTGTCACTGTTCACACAAAAGTATGCAACAACATCATCTGGCAGACCAGGCTTAAATACCCGCTGAAAGAAAAAGGTAATCAAAATCAGGACCTGCAAATTAATTTAGTCATTGTTGCAGAGCCTAGTATACATATATCTTATTAACCAAACTTGTGCAAGGGCTGTACTATGAGAATAACCGCCCAAGGTCTTGACAGTAAGGAGAGAGCACAGCAAGGTCTGTGCATAAAAGACTGAGGACCAATAATCTCCCAGTATGGTCCCAAGCAAACTTGGCATATACTAACATCTGATGTCAAACAAACCAGAAGGGAAAGAGAGTTGGAAGAAAAAGAAAAGGAATCTTTTATGTTTAAAGCAAGTTCTTTCTGAGACATAACCCATAAAACAACCAAATATCTTCAAGATTGATCGTGCTGGATCATTCGGGACAGTACCCAATTCAATACTAAGAGAATATTGGACTGGCAATGCAGCAATCTGATTGGTTGATTTTAGTTATTTGCCCTCTGAAGTAACTTGTGTAATAATAACTAAGACAACACTGACACTTTTTCAAGATTTACTCCCCTATTGACAAATCAAGATAATTAATGAGCTGTTTAAATTAATAATTTCTGAGAGAGACTGACTAAACCATTAACCCTCAAAGACAACAAACAAATTTCCCTTACTAGGTCTGAAACATTTCTTATACCACATTTCAAATGATATGGTGAACCATTCAAGACAATTTCTACTTGTTATCCATGTGTCAAATATTCCCACAAACTTTGCTGTTGAAGTGATACCTGTAGCAAAATCCCTTATCAACTTTATTAGACCTGGTTATGCATGCGTGCCACTTCAAGTTCTTAGTAATGCAAAACAACAATTTACTACAATTATCAGTTAAGGAAGGGGCAACGAAAGTTTGGTCTCCAGGTTTTATTGTGAAAATTGTTGTTGTCACTGGCAACTAGCTCCATTTCCAGTGGCAACTTGTCGGCCTTTGAAGTCATTGACAGCAAAGCAAGAGAAATTGTAGGCTAAGCGAAAGGCGACGCAAAGCTGTTGATATTGTTACCAATGGAAATGAGGTAAGTTGCCTGTGACAACACTGTAATTTTAAGGCCAAAACTTCCTCACCAAACTTCCGCCGTGCCTTACTCGACTGATAATCATAACAATTAATGCCTTGAACTTCCTCAATTGTATGATTATCTCTGTTTTAATCAACAAAGCTGGATTTACCTGGTCTCCAGATGATAACATATCTAAAACAGGTGTCTTATCAGGCAAAGATAATCTCGACTTTCCTTTAGTCAAAAAACTTGTTATTTCTTCCACATCCTATTGGAGAATTTCAACAAGAAAATGTTATGTTTATTTCAGCTGCTGCATGTTAATTTAGGCCCCACCAAAAGCAGAAATATTTTCACCCAATATGCCGTAATATTGTTGTGCACAACATTTAGCACACGGTTGATCAACCTGTCACAATATGTTATGTTGTAGGTCAAAATGAAATTCAGGTTAAAATGATTTTAACCTAGTTTGATTCCAATTTTCTTTGTCTTCTAACCCTAATCCATGAATAATTAGGGGTAAGGGACAAAAGGGTAAGGGACAAAGGAATTTCATTTTGACCTTCAACATATATATTTGCAAGATATTTGATGGTGCAACAGTGTGACCAAACATTAATTGTACCTGTACTACGCCCATCAATTTTGGAATATGCTGCATTGAAACTGAATGTGTTTCAGCTTGGCTTTAAACAAACCATGGCAATTAAGAATTGGTTAAGAGTAATCATCAACAGCATCAGTATCATTATCATCATCATCATCATCATCATCATCATCATTATCATCACTGTCAACATCCTCTGTTCTTGTAATGCCAGTGGGACACATATTAAGTCCTTGCCCGTTCAAGTACCCCTCTCCCTAAAATTAACTCGTAAAAAGTGATAGTTTCCAAGATTGTCTTTTGTTATGTACACTTTTTTCCCAAAAATGTTTACAAATTAAACAAATGTGTCAGGAGTTATGACTGTTAGTACTCCCATTACCTTACTGACATCTCGACCTGATGATAAATTACAGTTTGCTTTAGTTTCCTCAACTTTTTCTACAGCAAGTTGCAAGTAGTTGATCGCATCTTGAATCTAAAAGAGAAATTAAAAACCAATAGCTACACTCTAGAGCAAATTAAAATAATTGGCCTTAAGAGTAACCCAAGCTCAATCAAACTGTCAAATTTCCATGTCATTCCATTTGATAAAATTTTGCCCTTTAGAAATTATTGCAGCCTAATAAATGGATCAACACAAATTTCAAAGTCATGAATTTATCATTATTTTTTTATTCTTTTATGTGGATACCTGTTTTAGCTTCCATGGCTCATGCTCTCTTATGAAGACACGAAAGCCAGAGCTAGATACTTTGGGAAGCTTGAATTTTAAGTCCTGTAAAAACGCAAAACAGTCTTTTAATGAGTTGCCTCTTTTTTCCAAAATAAATCTTGGCAAAAAATTAATACATCATTCATCTGAAGTACTCTCTCAAGTATATCAGATACTTGTTACAACTTAAATGTTGATTTTGAAATTGTAATTAATTAAAAGCTTGCTTGGCAATTTTATCAGTTCCATTGATTTCCTGGGAAAAAGAAGACAAAAATAAGACAATGCTCTCAAAACAGCTGGATTACATACTGCTTTTGAAATATTTTCTCCTTCCACAGCAACATAACCTTTAAGGGTATCACTACTGCAATACAAGACAAATACAATAAATTATTATAATAAAACTAATTATTTACCAAAAATTAATCAATTAATTTGTTCCTTAAGAGTATATAGAATTAAAGAAGCTGCAACTTAGATAAAGTCTGTTCCAATCATAGGAATATTAGAGCCTGATAATTCATCAGTGTTGGAGTTTTGAATGCCGTTTCTGTTCCATAAACTAAGATTAATAGTGTTGCAACCTCCCCTTCCCCTCTTAGATGAGATGTCAGCCAATATTGCAGGTGCCTGCCAGATTTTTCTCAGGTTTCTATAGCAAATCACTGGGAAAAGGACAGTTTTATGAAAAAGCCTGATTTTCATGTTGTAACTTAATTCACCACCTGGAGGAAAGTTTTATACTTATAACAAAGCTGAGTTCAAAACATTTTGCCTGCCCGTGAAAACCAACTGCCTTCCTGCCAGAAACATATCATAGCGTTACCGAAACAAATCCAGTAAAACTAAATGATGAAAGTTTACAAGAATTTTAAGCAGTGGTGGAAAACTTCTTCCTTCAAAGTCTTCTTTACTTCCACTTGTTTTCTACAACTCTATAGGAACACAGAATGTGTTTACTTCTAGGTGCTTTTTAAAACTTACTTTGGGGTAGAGAGCATGAAGTAATCTTGAGGCTTTACTTCCCCTAAAAATCCCAGTAGCATTATAATCAAGTCATATTTCAGAAAGGAAAAATAAAAATATTTTGGAAAGAAATTATAAAATAATATTGAACAGTTTTAAGAGTGACAAGAAAACAGATTGTTCATATTGCGCCTTTCAAGATGTATGTATACTGTCTTATAATGTATCAAATATTTTCACTCATGCACAATTGGTCTGTGTCACATGACTGAATATTCCCCAGCTAAAACTGGGGAATATCAGTCAAGAGTAATGTTTCCCAATTTTCAAAACCGTGTGTGTTGCGCAAAATATTTGAAGGATAATAAACACAATAGCCTCTATTTGAAAATACAAGGATATTTCTCCTTGGACATTATCTGTTCCTCAAAGCTCACAGTTTTCTTCGAGCTGTGCTCTCGGAAAACTGTTCGCTTCTTGGAACAGATAATGTCTGCTGACAAATATCTAAGGATATTTTGCACCAACTGGAGGCTACTGTTTATATAGTCCCTTACACAACAAATATACAGAGATTAGTAAGTATTGTCACAATTTTTATTCTTATGCTATAACAATGCAGATAAGAACTGTTACACTACATCGGGCTGGTCCTGAGGACATATAAAACAGACACAGTAAATTGATAATGCCATGAATGCAAAGCCAGAAAAGAGAATTAAAGGAGAAAGGTCAAGCTGAAAGAAGAAGGAATAGAAGGGTATAGGGGAGGTGGAGCAAAAGAAGTGGATAACAGGGTAAGAAAACTAAACATTAGATTTAGGGGAACCTTGGGATTCTTGAGGTCACAACCAAATACAAAATCCATATGCAAAGATGGCAGGCAAACACATAACAGTTGAGAAATATGATCAATCTTTGTGTATCACAGGCGCTAATAAAACTGCATGAAAAACCTCAATAGGGTCCTGTTCACTTAGTTTCTTATTGTCTTGTTATGTATATGACACAAAATTATCTTATCCCCACCTTGTATTTCACCTGTGGCTGTTTTTCCTGGAATACATGAGAGTTTCAAACATTTTGAGCATTCCTTTGAAATAAACACAAACCAAGTTCCAATGGGTGCTTACCATTTGTCAGAATAAACTGATTAGGATGACCACTGAATAATTTTTGTTATAGGTGTGAAGATCATAGCCTGCGAACACAGA